AGTCCTTGAACCCCTGCACCCACACAGGAGACTTGGAAGAAACTCCTGGCTCCTTGCTTCAGATCAGCAAAGCTCTGATGGTAACAGCCTCTTGGGGAGTGAGAGATCTGTCAGCCAGGGCAATCAGAGATGTTCACATTCTGTCCAATAAGGAATTTGAAATTCCTCATCCCCGTCCCAGTGACCCACTTTGCCAAGTCTGGATCCACTGTGGAATGGAACGACCCACCCTTGGGGCTGTAGATAATTCAAGTACACTGCTCATTTGGCAATTCTGTTTTCCCTGACTGCGCCAGTCCAGAGTTCTCTAGCACCTGCTACTGCCTCGAATGCTTTCATAGATGTCAGCTTCCAAAGCTCAGGGGGCAATGAGGACAAAATCAAATTGAGATCCACACGGCCTGGGTTTGTGCTTGCCCTCATTATTATTTTTGTCATCGTGGGCAAGCTTTGTGCTTTTCTCAGCCTTTTCTCCCCTAACCTAAAACTCAGAGAGGTATATTTGGAAGGGAAAGCAAAATGTCTTTGGTGAAAAAACCCTGCAGAGAAGTTAAGAGCTCATTATCTGAGCCCAGGGTGTTTGGTTGCCACAGATAAGATCATTGAGGTAGGAAGCCTGGTGTGTAGGATGATTACCTAGCTTCCTTCGTTTTTTTTTTTTTTACTGGTTGAAACACACTCAGGGTGCAGATTCTTCAGTAATGAGAACCATACCAGGCTTGAGGTAGCTGCCTAGAACACTAGAAGGTGTTTCTGCTCTCAAATGTGCTCAGGATATTTGCAGATCTACACTGTATCAAGTCCAGGGTTCCTGACCACATGTGGCGCTTCCCTAGCCTCTGGCCTTTGCCCACAACCTCATACTGGATTGCTCACCGTGCCTGTCCCCAAACTGGCTGGCTAATGCTTGTGCGGCTTTGTCCATGTTCTTTCTGGAGACTCAGGCCTTATGTCCCAGCTAGGCACATTTGTTGAAAGGCACATTCCAAGCCGGTGGCACACAGGGTGTCTGCCTCCTTCCTACAAATGTGTTTTCAGCAAGTGGAGCATGTGTGCCGCATCCCCAAATCAAGGCTGTCTCCCACAGCCTGGCAGAGTGTCCGACCGTGGTAGCAGGCTCTCCAGAATCTTGGAACTCAGTAATAAGACCACACTTGGACTTTATGGAAGTGGACTTGTGAATGTAAGCTTCGTGTCAGCAGCTGCCGATTCATATCTGATCAGCTAAATGCTATCAGAACAGACTGTTTTACCTAACTCAGTGGAAGCCCTGGAAATAACAAGGCAATTTGTCTCTTGTGTATGTTGACTTTGTGGCTTGGAAACTGGTAAAGAGACTTTTTATTGCTAACATTCTGATCAGTTATCACTGAAGGTCTTTCTTGAGGGAGCAGAGCAGGTTGAGCTGTGCCTGTGATGCAGACATTCCACTTGACAGTGCTGGTTGTTGAGTTCCTGCTGCTCCACTTTCAGTCCTGCTCTCTGCTTCTGGTTTGAGAAAGCAGTGGATGATGGCCAAGCCCTTTCGCCCCTGCCACCCCTGTGGGAGATCCGGATGGAGTTCCAGGCTCCTGCATTTGGTCTGGCCCAGCCGTGGCTGCTGAGGCCTTTTGGGAGTGAACAAGTGGGAGCCAATGAACCGATGAACCAAAGGGAGTGAACCCCTCCCTTTATCACTGTGCTTTTCAAAATGAATGTTTCCTAAAGATTTATTTATTGGAAAGGCGGATATACAGAGATAAGGAGAGACAGAGAGAAGATCTTCTGTCTGATGGTTCACTCCCCAAGCGGCCAGAATGGCTGGAGCTGAGCCAATCCAAAGCCAGGAGCCAGGAGCTTCTTCCGGGACTCCCATGCGGGTGCAGAGTCCCAAGGCTTTGGGCTGTCCTTGACTGCTTTCCCAGGCCACACGCAGGGAGCTGGATGGCAAGTGGGACTGCTGGGATTAGAACCGGCGCATGCAAGGCAAGGACTTTAACCATTATGCTATCACGTCAGGCCATTCAAAATGAATTAAAAAAAAAATTTAAAGATTTATTTTTATTGGAAAGACAGGTTTAGAGAAAATAGAGAAGTCCTCCATCTGCTGGTTTATTTTCCAAACAAACACAGCTGAGCTTATCCAAAGCCAGCAGCTTCTTCCGGGTCTCCCACATAGGCACAGGATCCCAAGGCTTTGGACCATTCTCTGCTGCTTTCCCAGACCACAAGCAGGGAGCTGGATGGGAACTGAAGCAGCTGGGACATGAACCAGCACCTATGTGGGATGCCAGTGTTTGTAGGTAATTAACCATTGAACTCTTGTGCTGGCTCCTGAAGTTTCTAAGATAGGAGAGTGGAAATTAACTACTCAAGTCCTCCACCTGATCCCAACAAAACTTCCACCCTGCGGGGCTTTGGGAGTGGTTTCTGGTTGCTTAGGAAACACACTTTACTCTCCACACTAAGAGAAGTGACAATACCAGACAGGGTGTCCCTGATCAAGACCAGGCCCATCAGGCTTGGCAGCAGCAAGTGAGAAGTAGGGGGCTGGGGTTCTACAGAGCAAGGGTCACCCCTCAGTGTAAAGGGGAAGGGGTAGCGAGAACAAGCCTACCTTGGGGCAGAAGAAGCCAGCAGGACAGGTGCCAATGACTCGGGTTGCCCAGCTGCACCTTGAGGCTGTCTATAGTGCAACCTGTGCAAAAAACCTCCACGGTGATGACACGATCACGGGGGTGGGTTTGGGAAGGCACCGCCCTGCCCGCTGGCCTGGACCTTCTGTGTGCATGTGCCTCTTACCTCTTGCATATCTGACTCGCAGCACACTATGCGGTCTTCTAAAATGTTCACAGAAAATACGTACAAACACACTGCATGGGTTTCAAGACCTTTTTGTACCAAAAGAAATGTCTTAATTCCACTTCTTCCCCATGGACCTTTTGGAGGAGCCTTGTATGTTGTGCTAGCCTTCCAGGATGGCATGGGTATTGCTGTGTTCCACCAAGCGGGGGGCAGCTGTGGCTCAGCTGCTCCAGGCTCATGACGACTAAAGAAACCTCTCAGTAGGATTGACCAGCAATGTCGGAGGGCCTGAGGACAAGGTCTATGTGTCTAGGCAGCTATTAAGTGTTACCAGGCAGCACCTGGAGGTGGCATGATTATCAGCTGGTAAGAAGAAATCGAGCCTCTAGGGTAGCAACCTGCACCCGCACCACCTGTTTTGGTGATGTTAAGGGCTTCGAAAATGACTTGAATTAGAAGCACGATTCTGTTGGTTTTGACTCTTAGTTGTTGGAATATTCCTTAATCTTAAAAAAAAAAAATTCCAGAAATCAGATGAACAAGACTGGCTTGATCAGGTCTTTATGTACTTTGGTATTAGTCCTAATCTAGACTACTCAGATTAATGTATCAGCTTGTCGTTAAGCATTAGAAACATGCATCTATGTTTGCTTCGAAGGTGAGGCAGAGGGCTTTGTCTCCTCTATCAGTGGAAAAGGTGGAGCAGGTGGTTAGCTCAGCAGTGCAGATGCCAGCATCCTTCAGCCAGTATGGTGGTACAGTGAGCAGATCCCCTGCCTGCAGCACTGCTGTCCAGATGAGTGATGGTCCAAGTCCCTGGTGCTTCGCTTCCAATCCAGCTCTGCTATGGTCGGATGGCCCAAGGCCTTGTGTCCGTGCCTGCCAGCTTCGGATGCACCCTACCTCTTGGGGAATGATGCAGCAGATCTGTGACTCAAGTAAAAACATTTTTTTTTTTCCTTTTATATATTTCATTTGAAAAACAGAGGTAGGGCCTGGAATTGGCCTAGTAGCGAAATCTTTGCCTTGTGTATGCTAGGATTCCGTATGGGCACCACTTTGTGTCCTAGCTTCTCCACTTGCCATCTAGCTCCCTGCTTGTGGCCTGGGAAAGCAGGCCCAAAGCTTTGGGACCCTGGACCTGAGTGGGAGACTCAGAGGAAGTTCCTGGCTTCGGATTGGCTCAGCTCTGGCCATTGCGGCCACTTGGGGAGTGGACTAGTGGAAGATCTGTCTCTCCTTCTTTTGGTAAATCTGCCTTTCCAATAAAATAATACATAAATCTAAAAAAAAAAAAAAAGCAGAAATATAGAGGACAGAGAGCTCTTATATTGGTTTGTCTGCAGGACTAGAAGTGGAGCAACTGGGATCTGAAGCTGGTGCCTAAGTGGCATGATGGTGCCTTAGATGGAGACTTAGCCTACTATGCGCCACAGCGCCAGCTCAGAAATAAATATTTTAAGAAAATGCCTGTATCCTGTCGGAGGAGCATTTAGAAGGGCAAATTCAAGAGGATAATGAGGATTTGAGAACTTTTTAACATTGATTAACTTTTTAACTTTTAACATTGACTAAAATGAACTTTAATGTTAAAGATTTGATTTGATTTTAACCTGCTAGCAGTGCCAGATGAAATTACACAACTTTGCCAACATATTCCTTAATTTAAATTGGCTTTTGCAGTTGAGTGGAACTTTATATAAAGCATAAGGACAATAATTTAATTTAAAAAAAGGCAAAACCTAAACCACATTTGAAGAGGTCCTAACAGATCGATACAACTTTTTTTATTTTTAAATATTGTACTATTTATGGTGGTGGTGGGGCATTCTTATTAAAACACAAATTCAGTCATTTCAAAGTAAAAAAAAAAAAAAAGCCTGCATCCTGTACCTGACTGGCCTCGGTTCAATGCCCAAGTCCAGCTCCTGACTCTAGCTTCCTGTTAATGCGGTCCTAGTGAGGCAGTGGCCATGGCTCAAGTGACTGGCTACCTGCTACCCATGTGGGAAGACCTGAGATTGTCTCGCAAGTCCTGGACCATCCCTGGGGACCTGTGCATACGTGGACAGTGACCCAGAGGCTGGGAGCTCTCTGCTGCTCATCTACACACAACAGGCACAGGCCACAGACAAAAACCACCACGGGCAAAGACAGGTTAGAGAAACATATTATTAAATTTAATATTCTTTTAAATACATAACTTTCTCCCACCCCATTCTGGGGATTCCATGTGGAACGCCTGAGATGGTGAGGAGCAAGTATAAACAAAAATACTATTTACAGGAGTGGGGGGGTGGAAAGAAGGCGCCTGCGCAACCATGGCTATACACGGCCCCCAGCCCCCGGGGTCCTTTTGCTCCTTTAAGAAAAAAGCCCCTGGGAAATCAGTTTGAGTGTAGGCCAAGCCCTTTCTCTGGAGGGGCACTGAGACCCCCACTCAGAACAGGAAGCTCTGAGAGTAACTGAGGAGGAGGGGGAGAACGGATAGCACCTCAGATTCTGGCAGGGGAAGGGGTCTCCCCCACCTCCTTCAGCCTGGAGGCAGCCGGCCGGCCAGCCAGCCTTTGTTCCAATGGGGTGTCCAATGTAAACATTGACTTTTCCCTTGTGTGTGTCCCTGCTCTTCCTCCTGCAGCCACAGGGCGAGGCCTGTGGGTCCTTGGTCTTCCCTTCCTTCCCACCTTTCCTGTGGGAGGAGCAGGGAGGGGAGGAAGGACTAGAGGGGGGCTAGGGCCAGCTACAGCCCTTGTCGGTCAGGGCAACTTGTCCTCCTAAAGGAGAGGTCCCATGTTCTTGGCCAGACAGGAACAGACTATTCCCCTACGGAAGCAGGGACCAGGCAGGTGGATTGTCCAGTACCAGCAAACAGGGTCTCGGTGCAGACCACATCAGGACGGTGGAGGAAGGCAGGAGGAGGGTGACAAAGTATGTGACCAGCCCTCTCCCCCCCTGACAATCTGCCTCATCCTTGCTTGTACAGGCTGAGGGGGAACCGGGCACTCCCAAAGCAAGAAGTCTTTTGTCCAGCTGCAGGTGTAAACCCAGGTGGCGCTCACACCAGCTCATCCAGGAGGATCCCGATGCTCTGCGAGGCCTCCGAGGGCCCGGCAATGGGCTTGTTACACATGGGGCACACACAACGCACTTCCAGCCACTTCACCAAACACCTGTAGGCCAGAGAAGCACCATGAGCTGGGAGGAGATGAACAGGAGCATCGACCCTATCCCCTCTGTCTTGCATGTGGGATCGAGTACATTCAGGTCTGGAAGGTTCTAGAAGATGCTTCCTCATTACACCCTTCACTCCCCTCATGACACCCCCTTCTTCTGCTGGATGTAACCCCCCTTCACTCCCACCTCCTGACGTACTTGCGATGAAAGGCATGCTGGCATGGGAGCACGCCTAGCTCGTCCTTCCCCTTGAAGTCTTCCAGACAAACGGCGCAGGTCTGCTGTGGAGAGAGATGGCTGCACGTGAGAGGAGATGGGGCTAGCTCCTCATTCATCCATCCCCAGCCAAGCCCAGCCCTGGCCCTGTCTCCTTGATCAGACAGATTCGCAGTGTCCTGCACTGGTAGGATGGCAGCAGTGAAAAGAGCAGGTCATACGTTCAGCTCAGGCTCAATAGCCTCACATGGCGAGTGGTTCCCATATTGGACAGACTTCTGGGGTCACTGAAGCGCTGTTCTAAGACTCCCTCACAGCCTGTCACATCTGCAGCTAGGCCTCTATGTAACAGCGACAAGTGGGGTAGGCATTGTGGTGCAGTGGGTCAGGCTGCCACTTGGGACGCCTGCACCCTCCCGTTCAAATCCCAGTCACTCAGATTCTCATTCAGCAAGAGAAACAGCAGAGAAATGATGGCCCAGGTACCCGAGTCCCTGCCACCCAGGCAGGAGACCAAAGTGACGGTCCTGGTTCCTGCTTTCCTCCTGGCCTGTTCCAAGCCATTGTGGCTGTTAGGGGAGGAAATCAGAGGTCTGAAGACCCCTTGACCTCTGCCCTTCAAGTAAGATAAAAATGAATACAAAGTACTTCCCGGAAATAGAATCAGGAGTTTATTTTGCTGCCAATATTTTTGAAGTACATGCATGAGAATCTCAAAAAAGTTCACAAAATGTAAAAAAAAAAAAAAAAATCATACATAGACCTCCAAATATTTTTTTGCAACAAAAAAATCAACCCATTTAAAATGGCAGCTAGCTATTAAACTCCCCTCCCCTTTTAATTTGTTTATTTGAAAGGCAGAGTAACAGAGAGAGGAGGGAGAGACAGAGACCAGCCACCTGCTGGTTGTCTCCTTAGCTGGCTGCCACTGCTGGGAGCAGGCTGAAGCCAGTAGCTTCCTCCCCACCTCCCACATGGGTACAGGGGCTCTAGCACTCTGCTGCTTTCCCAGGTACATCAGCAGGGAGCTAGGTTGGAAGTGGAATAGCCTGGACACACACCAGCACCCATGTGGGATGTTGACATGGCAAGCGACAGCCACAGTGGCAGCCCCATCCATTAACTGCAGAAATGTTTCCAACCCAAACAGGGTTAGAAAATAGAGATTGTTACAATTTTGGAATATTTAATAGACTATATCAGTCAAGGACATACAATCTGAAACCTAAAATACAAAAAAAAAAGGGGGGGAAATCCAAAATGGGCATCATGTTGGCAGAGCGTTTCTGATTCTGGATTCTGATTGGAATGCTCAGCCTGGATTGATTAGCTGCTGGGATGAGTTCCTTTTGTCTGGCCCAAGCAAACAAGGCAGGAACTTAGCAACTACAAAGATTCCTGCAGGGCCTGGCGTAGTAGCCTAGTGGTTAAAGTCCTCACCTTGCATATGCTAGGATCCCATGCAGGCACTGGTTCTAATCCTGATGACCCCGCTTCCCATCCAGCTCCCTGCTTGTGGCCTGGGAAAGCAGTCAAGGACAGCCCAAAGCCTTGAGACCCTGCACCTGCGTGGGAGGCCCAGAAGATGCTCCGAGCTCCTGGCTTTGGTTCAGCTCAGCTCCGGCCGTTGCGGCCACTACAGAGTGAATCAGGAGACGGAAGATCTTCCTCTCTGTCTCTCCTCCACTCTGTATATCTTATTTTCCAATAAAAATAAATAAATCTTAAAAAAAAAATTTCTGCAACAGCTGGCACAGGGGCTGGGATAAAAAGTGCTGTAGACCTCCCCGCATACTTACTCCATATAGCTGTAATTTCTTGGCATCACCTTTCAATACCACCTGTGAAGAAAAGAGGGGTGGGGGTTTAACGTCAGCAGAAACCAACTGCGGGGGGCATCAAGTGGGATCTTATAATGAAAGGAGTCCCAGTCCTTTACATGGGAGCCTGCCTCTCTTGCCTTATCAACAAGAGAGGGCTGTGGTTGGCCTGGGGCAAGGACAGTGGCAAGGGCTGGCCTCCTTCAGGGCTGCCTGAGCTTGCCCCTGCCTTGCCCTGCCCCAGTGGGAGCAAACAGCCCAGGAGGAAGTCCCCCAGGAGAAGATGTGGCATCTTACCTCCTTGTATCCGTATCGTTCACTCTGCGCCTGGTTCCGGAGTTTGCTGGGGGAGAAAGACAGAGGCGAGAGATCAGGTTACTTTGCTTGTGCCCAAGCGGAGAGCAGGGGAGGTGGGTGGGCTGGTGACTTGGGGACTCAGCTTAGCTGAGCACTGAGACTCTCAGGAGCTTCTAATTTACCGCTGGGTCCCATTCATGGGCTGCCGAGTTCTCGGGCAGGACAGTCCAAACGGTTCCTTTGCTCTCCGCAGTCGCTCCTAGTGCTAGGTGAAGTCTTCCAGGTGTCTGATTTACACAGCTCAACCACATGCCGAGTGCACGGAAATTTAACATGTTCAAGACACATTCCTGTTAATAATCAGGTAGCTGGCTACGTGAAGTCTGTCTTTATGTTGCTGTTAATTTTTTTTTTTTTAAGATTTGTTCTTATTGGAAAGGCAAATCAGATTTGGAGAGACAGAGAAAGATCTTCAATCCACTGGTTCACTTCCCAAGAGGCCACAATGGCCAGAGCTGAGCTGATCTGAAGCTAGAAGCCAGGAGCCAGGAGTTTCTTCCAGGTCTCCCACATGGATGCAGGGTCCCAAGGCTTTGGGCCATCCCCTTCTGCCTTCCCAGGCCATAAGCAGGGAGCTGGATGAGAAGTTGAGTATCCTGGACATGAACTGGTGCCCGTATGGGATCCTGGTGCTGGTAACGTAGGGGTTTTGCCAAGGAAAGGACTGAGCCACCCTATATGAAGTCTATTGTTCTCGGAGCATTTTCCACCCAGGGGACCTAAGAATTCTGGACCCATAGCACTGGACACTCTCCCTTCCCAGCGCCAAACACCACCAACAATGCCTCTGATTCCTTCTCCTTTTAGGCCAGTGTCCTGCATATGCCCAGACCCTCAGCTGCCAAAACACAGCACATGGCCACTAACGGTGATGGCATAACAGCTCCTTGGTGCTTGCTGGGGGTCACTGCCGGGACAGTGAGCCAGTCACCTAAGTTCTCACAGGATCCAAGCACTGGGGACAAATGAAACCCAAAGGAGTCACCTGCCCAAACTCCATAGGGTTCACTGGCTGGCCAGTCTGGACTGACAAAGTCTGTGTGACGACCCGCTTGCCCACTAAGGCAGGACAGGGCACAGTGAAAGGATGCTGTCTGGCCTACATTTCATCAGGCCTGTGACTCTCAGAGTGGCCAGGAATAGAATCTTGTGCCAAGTTTCTGTTTGATTCTCAGCCAGGGAAACTTTGGCTCTGCAGCTGTACATGACCTCCTAGCTGTGGGCTCTAGTAGGGACCTGCATAGGGCTTTCTCAGCCATGTCTCTCTCATGCCTGTGCTATGCCAAGGAACCATCAGGAACACTCCAGGTTAGGATAGGTGTGATCTGCTATGATCTGAGGGTCAAATCCAGCTCACTAGTCACTTTTAGACAATCCCAACCTAAGAATGGTTTTTGTTCTTAGAGAACAGTAACTCTGAGGGCCAGCATTGTAGAACAGCAGTTAAAGCCACTGACTGTGATATGGGAACCCCAGAGGGGTGGCACCACATCATGTCATGGTTGCTCCTTTTTTTTAAGATGTATTTATTTTTATTGGAAAGTCAGATTTATTGGAAAGTAGAGACATAAAGATCTGCCATCTACTGGTTCACTCCGCAATGGCAACAACAACCGGAGCAGAGCTGATCCAAAGCCAGGAGTTTCTTCTAGGTCTCCTACATGGGTGCAGGGTCCCAAGTCTTTGGGCCAGCCTCCACTGCTTTTCCAGGCTATAAGCAGGGAGGTGGAAGGGAAGTGGAGCAGCTGGGACACAAACTGGCACCCATATGGGATCCTAGTCCACGCAACATGAGAACTTTAGCCACTAGGCTACCATGCCAGGCCCTTTTCTTTTTCTTTCTTTTTTAAGGTAGCATTAAATAGAGGAGAGAGAGAAAGAATCTCCCATTTATTGGTTCATACTCCAAATGGCCACAATGGCCAGAGCTGGACTGGTCTGAAGCCAGAAGCCCAGAGCCTCATCTGAGTCTCCCCAGTGGGTTCAAGGGCCCATGCATTTGGGCCATCCTGTGCTGCTCTCCCAGGTGCATTAGTAGGAAGCTGGATCAGAAGTGGAGTTAGCCATGACTTAAACCAGCACCCATTTGAAATGCCAAAGTCCCAGGCCCAGCATGCCATGCTACATTGCTGGCCTGGCCCCTGCTCCACTTCCACCTAGCACCCTGCTAACAGCCTGGAAAAACTGCAAACATGGCCCACGTGCTTCAGCATCTGCTACTCTTGTGGGAGACCCCAGATAGAGTTCTAGGCTCCTGCTGAAGCCTGGCTCAATCCTAGCCATTACTGTCATCTGGGGAATGCGTCAGCAGCTGGAAGACATTTCTCTATATGTATCTTCCCCTCTCTTCGTAACTTTCATGTACAAATAAATCCTAAAAAAAAAAAAAGATAGTACCTTGTGACATACACAAACTACATGGAATTCAAATCTCAGTGTCTATGAGATGTCACGGGTACCCAGTCACATTTACAGTTTACACAGTTTTCGTGGCTCTCTTTGCACTCCAAGGAAAAGCCTGCTAGTTGTGATCCAGCCCTCAAGAGAAAAAGGACCGCTGACCTGAGCTAGAAAACAGAAACTGAATCTCCAGAGACTAGCTGGATCAGGGGGTGGAAAAAAAATCTGCACCCGGCAACAGAGAAGACGGTTCCGCAGGTGGTGCAGGAGGCAGAAGGTGAGGCCAGAGCCAGGTCCACAGGGTAGGGCCAGGCAGATAAGAGCAGGCTGCCAGCTCCCTCTGTCCTTCCTGATGGGAAGTCAGGTGGTCGGGCATGGTTGGCGATTCCTGGCACCTCTACAGAATCACTGTCCAGGTGGATGGCTGCCATGGCTTAGGGCTGTACCTGCAGGGTCCTTCCCACCTCTTCTCTCTGTGATCCCCGCAGGGCTGGGCTATGGACCAAAGTGGGGCTCCCACTGTCCAGTCCTTAATGTGCAGTGCATGCCTCTGTCTTAGAAACAACTCTTGCATGTCTCTCTCTTTCCTGAATGGCAGGAGAGGCACAGGGAAGGACGCACAGGAAGCTGCAGTGAGCTGGGCTACCACCTGCAGTCTCCATCACCAGGGAGCTCAGAGCCTCCTCCGGAGACCAGACCCCGCAGGCCTGGGACGAGGTCTGTGCAGAGGTCACGTGCCCAAGAGCCTGTATTTTTCACTCTGTCCACACAGCTTTGGATACTCACAGGCCTTATTAGCCATGCAAGCACCCCCAAGTGAAGTGTGGCATCTTCGGCTTGCTGGATCTGCCTGCTAGCCTGCCCTCCCTCTCCCATCTTCGCCCTGCTGTCTGGGCTGGCTCCTCTTAATGATATCACTCAGGGGAGCAGAGCCTCTTTTACGCCAAAGGCCATTTGGATACAAAGGACTTCATTCACAGACCACAGGCAACCATCAACAGGCAGCATTAGTTTGCTGTATATACAGATTCACTGAATTTTGAGTCCAGTCCGTGGAGGCCTTGTCAGGGCCAGACCGAAGGACTCTGTGGGGCCTTCTACGGCCCACATGGGCCAGATGTGCCCCATCCCTGGTCCAACTCAAGGAGTCGTGCGGAATGCTCAGGACAGGAAAGGGCTCACGAGTGGCGCCTGCAGCCTGTGTACGGATCTCAGCTCAGGAAGGATCCGATCACAATGCAGCAGGGCCGGAGGTGGAGCTGAAGGCGCCATCCCAGCTGGGGTTGTGGTGCCAACCACTCCGGACAGGTGGCTTCCACAGCTGTTCAGATGAGCCAAACAACTAAAAATACCCTCCCTTTCCATGGGGGGGGGGGAGGAAGGGGGTCTCCCTTTCCTCTTTTCCCTTTTAGAACAACAATGCAGCCAGATCCCCCAAAATAAGTGTTTCTTTCCTGTCTATTTGTAGTTCGCAGGCCCCTCCATCCTGTGTAGGGCAGGGGTCAGTTCTTCAGGGCCCGAGGGAGGCGCGAGGAGGTGCTAGGGGTGGGGACTCTGGCTGATGAGCTCACCAGGTCGGGGAGCAGCAGTCACGGGCCTATTTTGGCCGAGGAGGAAACCAAGAAGCAGGGAGAGGAAGTGGCGTCTGCGCTCGTGTGTCCTTCTATATATAGATGCACTCGGGCTGCCACATACCAGTGGGCCTCGAGAACCCTGCAACACCAGCGTCAGCAGGCTTCAGGCTGGAGGGCAGGCCACAAAGGAGCAGACGGACACAGAAGTGACAGGTGGCACACGCAGCTCCACAGCTTTTCCCATAGTGCGCACTCTGACTCCAGCCAAAGACAGCAAAACCGTCCTCCGCAGGAATCACCATCTCCCCAACCCCCACCCCACCCTGGTCAGCTCTAGAGAAGGTGGCCACAACATCACAGCAGCTCTCCCACCTCCCACTCGGGGACTGAGACTCGCAGCAGCCCACTTGCAGAAGATGCCTGAAAGCCTAGCTTGTTGTTCCCAGGTGGGTACCTCTCTCGGCTTCCCTGGATGGGAATCTTGGGAAAATCCTTAGCCACCAGAACATGGCTTTTCTTGTTTATAACCTGAGGAGCAACTGAGGGGATGACTTTAAAAATGCTGGCCATGAAGGCTAGTGCTGTAGCACAGTGGATGAAGCCACACCCCGCAGTGTCTGTATGGGTGCCAGTCTGAGTCCCGGCTGCTCCACTTCTGACCTAGCTCCCTAATAAAGCACCTTGTGGAAGCAGTGGAGGATGGCTCAAGTGTTTGGGCCTCTGCACGCATATGAAAGACCCAGAAGGAGCTCCTGGCTCCTGGTTTCAGATTGGCCCAGCTCGGACAACTGCAGCCGTTTGGGGAGTGGACAAGCAGGTGGAAGATGTGTGTCTCATCTCTGACTTTCAAACAGTGTTTTTTTCAAAGCTGCCTACAATTCCTCACAACACAGGAGCCAACTCAAAGTCACACCTGTTAGTGCCACAATCAAGAAAAGAATCCCTGTCATGTACTTTCTAGCCCAAAGCAATTTTCTCTGGAGTTTCTTCTCTTGACCATGTTTTGCCCTCTGGAGTGCGCATGTGTATGAGACCAAACAGAGTTAGTTTTGCAAGCCCTCCTAGCTTTGTCATGAATCTATTCTGGGGAGTCTCCCCACCTTCAGCCCCTGAGGAATGAGGCTAACTGCTTGAGCGCTTGTTTGGAGGTGCTAGCAGGGGAATGCTGCTACTCCTGTGCCCTTGACGGAGGCCCATCCTTTAGCGAGTAGGTCATCCTCTGCGACCAAGTGCTCGACTTTGGGAGGAATGCCCACAGAGCCATGAGGGAGGAAGGGGATCCACTTAGCCAGCCAGATCAGCCCAATCCACCCTGGAGATTAATGGGGCGACAGATGTCACAGCCAGATCACCTTCACATTCAAGGCCAATTGCCTGATACGACGATTAAAGGCAGGGTCATTGGGCATAAGAGTTAGAGGGAGAAAACTCAGCCTTGGGAAAAGCAGAGGGATGGAGAGGGAAGAGGGGGAGAACTCCAGAAACCTACCCTCACCCCCATTCTAGAGTCGGATGCCAATGTCACACTCGGTCGCACCACAGCGAACCTCAACCCCGATTTTCTTTGCACAGGCTTTGGTGAAAAACCCAAGGCAGCCACACAGGACTGAGAGGACAGTTCCTTCCTAGGGAGCCCCTTCTCAGCTGACAGAGTGGGGAGCATGCCTGCCTCCTCTTCACACACTCACACGTGCTGGGCTTCTCAGCAGGGAGCCCGGACACCTTTGCCTTAATCTTCTTAAAGGATTTGGTCAGACACCAGCCCATAGCCCACACCCCGGCAGACCAGATGTCTGCCCAGGCATTACCATTCTGTGTGGAGGGGGGATGGGTGGGCACCGTTGTCACAGTGGCTCTAAGGATAAGGAGCCCTTTGGTGGGGGTGGCAGGGATGCTCGGCACTCTCCCACCCACTGGACAGTCCCACACAGTGCGTTGGCGTCTGTACCACCAGCACACCCCAGGGATGTATACCCCGAGTTGGAGTTCATCCAAAACAACAACCTTGCTTGACTTTGTTTTGAATGCTAGATACAAACCATGACCAATTTCCATGTCCTTCAAAAGGAAGCAGAAGAAAGAGTTGCTAGGGCTTGGCCAATGCTGTCAAGCTTAAATCTGTGCCTGGACCCTAAGCAATTAAGAATAGGTGACATATTTAGCTCTTTTTCCCCTCCCTTCAGTCTCAAAAATAAGGGCTTACAAGGCAGCATAAACTCACAGATCTCCAGACAGCAGCTTGCTAATATTAGCAGAGTGGACAGCAAGATTTCCCAGGAGGGCATAGGAATATGCCCCTAGGAACAGTCAATCTCCAACTGACTACAGGTCCCCCCAGAGGGCACGGGTGGGGAGTGCAAAGGGGAAATTGAGCTCTACTATACAAATAATAATTCCAGGCTACCAGAGATGAGCTGGCCAAGAAGTGGAATGCAGTCTGACCCCTGATGACTTAACATGCTCTGGGCCACCATGATGGGGTGGTACAAACAGAAGCACCAATCTTCGGAGGCCCCAAGAGGGGCAGCTAAGCCACATCCTTAGAGCAGCTGGCTCCAGTGTGTGGCCAGGCCAGTTGTGCAACCCTCTCTGCTCCCTCCAGGACTTCCCATCCCTGTCGGCCAGGCATGCACTCACCTGATAAAGTAGCAGCAGAAGATGAGGCTGAGCATGAAGACAAAGATGCCTGTGCCGAAGATGACCATGTAGATGTTGAGAGGAAGGTCTTGGAAACTGATGGGTGGCATCGAGCAGGACTTGTTGGTGCTAACCAGTCCCAAGCCACAGAAGCACCCTGCAAAAGGAGAGGAAGAACAAGGTTAGCGTTGTCAACCTACCCTCTCGAGCTGAGGGCCCTGTGTCACCCAGGATGCTAATGGAACAGTGCAGGACATCAGACCCTGTCTCGCTGGCTACAGCCTATATAGCCCAGCCCTAACACTAACCAGCAATGGGATCCCCGCTGAAGTTATTTCACTGGCCCATAAAATGGAATACTACATACAGTATATCAAACAGCATCCCATCTAAGCAGTCTAGTGATGGGCACAAAATTGAAAATTCAGTTCCATCAGGTGCAAGCCCATATAGTTCAAAGACGGACTATATAGATATTTCTAATGTATGAAAATGCATTGTTTGAATTCCGACTCTACCTTTCCCAAGGCAGCTCGTGACCTTTAAGAGATGCTGCACTTAGCTTCACTTTGTCATAGAAAAACAAGCAAAATGTAGAGAGGAGACCACAATGGTGGAAGAAATATGCTCTGTAAATTACACGGTGTAATTGCAAAGGTCATTTATCATGATGAAGCCACCTGCTCCAGAAGATGAGCCGTGCCAGGACTAGAATAGAAATTGTTCACTCCAAGGCCCGGCCAGCATTCCAGAGAGTGGCCGTAGGGACAGGGCTGAGGAGGGGACTGCAGTTCCCTTGCTGGTCACCTCACGCCTTTCGACTCCAAGCCTCCATGTACCCGCTGGCCAGTATGTCCCCAGGGAACTTGGTAGACATGCACGCAGACTGTCCTTGTCCCTCTTCCAAAACATGAAATCACAATTGGCATTTTCACAAGATCCTCAGGAGATTCCTGTGTGCACTGGGGTTTCAGAGGCAGCACTGGTGAGGACCTTCTAAAGTGGCTATGAGGAGGGGGAACTGGGCATTGTGGCACAGCCCCTTAAGCTTTTGCTTGCAGAGCTGGCCTCCTAGATCAGAGCCCCAGCTTGAGTCCCTGCCATTGCACTTTTCCAAGCTAGCTCCCTGCTATTGTGCCTTGGAAGCAGTGGAGGACGGGTCATCATTTGGAATTCCTGCCATTCACATCAGAGACTGGGAGTTCGTTCCTGGTTCCTGGCCCAGCCCCAGTTGTTGTAGCCACTTGGGGGAGTTGAACCAGCAGATGGAAGATCTCTTTCTCTTTCAAATCAATGAACAGAAACTTTTAAGAAGTGGCTTTGGGATCCAGCACAATAGTCTAGCAGCTAAAGTCCTCACCTTGCACATGATGGGATCCCGTATGGGCACTGGTTAGGATCTTGGTGTTGTGCTTCCCATCCAGCTCCCTGCTTGTGGCCTGGGAAAGTAGTCAAGGATGGCCCGAAATCTTGGGACCCTGCACCTGCTTAAGAGACCCGGGAGAAGTTCCTGGCTCCTGACTTGGGATTGATCAGCATGGCCATTGCAGCCACTTGGGGAGTGAACCAGTGGATGGAAGATCATTCTGTCTTTCCTCTTTGTAACTCTAACCTTCCAGTTAATAATAATAATAATAATAAAAGTGGCTGTGTACTTCCCTTTCTACAAGGGTCAGGGATAACTCATGCTGGGTTATCGACTACAGTTGTCACCTCCTATCTGCCAGCATTTGACGGGAAGGTGACGTCTCTGCTAGGAGCCACAGTCTCAACAGACTGCACAGTTCTCTTCTCGGGTGGTCCCTCCCTGGGTTGCCGGAGTTCTGCAGCAGACTGGCTCCAGAGCCTGGAGGTGGACTCTGACCTCATGTATGGCATTCCTTGCCACCCCTGGCGTGTACCCTATGAGCCTGCATCTTCAACCTCTTTCAAGGGCTACACACATCAGATACACACTTCCCAGTTCCCCCTGCTCATTGCATACTACTCTCTGCCTAGAAATGTCATCCTGCTTCAGGTTCCTGCTGCCCCTTCTGACCCCACAGCCAGACACACTGTATTTCTCATGTATTTCCCAGTCCTTCTGTCTCCCTAGTAGCTCCTGACTCCGTGTTCTCCAACACCACACCCTGAGGGTCAGCCCAATGCCACCATCCACCCACCTCTCCCCACCGGGGGCTCCCTCTCCCCCTCTGCCACTGGCCAAACCTGGTCTTTGTCCAAAGACCCCTTGCTTTCTTAAAGCCTACAGCTCTCAACCCCATGCCACCTGCTCTTGCTCTCGCTTGCTCAGTAAGCACAGGACACAGCTCACACCCCTAGCACTGACTTATAGCACAGACATGCATGAAGCATCGATCACATGCTAGCAGGATGATGTTGGAGATACACAAGCCTGAAAGAAATGACTGGGTAAGCTTACCAGACAGGGAAGCTGACATGAAGATATGCATCATGGGAAGTGAGGTACTCTACAACAAATGTGGCTATAATCCTGCAAACAAAGCCAAAAGAGCCACAAAGTATGCTCCACCCTCCCACACCAGCCCAGAACACTCCGAGGTCCGTCCGTCCGAGGACATCGACTATTTGTATTCCCCATACCCAGCCTGCCCTACTGCTGGGCTTGTTAATCACTTCTGGGGTTCTCAAAACAACCTGGTCCCCTCAACAAAGGCTCCTGTTTCCATGTAAGGAGACGAAGGTTTGGGCAACCTGCCCAGGGACTGCCCTCGGCGGATGGGTCACCAGTCAACCAGCAAGCACTGCAGAGAGCTGCTGCCCGCACTGACCTAGACGCTGGGAGAAATACAAAGTCAAAGAAACCCTTGTTCTCCAAGACTTTCTGATTAATTTGCAATTAAAGACTCATTAGCTTCTCAACAGCGCTGATGGTGCTGTTTCTAATAGGGAAGCACTTTTGCTCCTAGGCTCCAGCAAGGGCTAGAAAAGTGAGTTTTCAGAGGCCAGAGTTGTGGTGCTGTGGGAGAAGCCACCCTGGTGATGCCGGAATCCTGGGCGCTGCTTTGAGTCCTGACTGTTTTTCCTGGGATCCAGCTCCCTGCCAGTGCATCTGCGAAAGCAGCGGAAGAAGGGGCAGGTGCCCGGGTCCCTGCCATTCAGGTGGAAGCCTGGAAGGGAGCTCCCAGCTCTTGGCACTGGCCTGGCCCAGCCCCAGCTGTGGTGGCCATTTGGGGAATGAATCGGTGAATGGAAAATCTCTATCTCTTTAACTCTGACTTCCAAATTAAAAAAATAATAATAACCTTTTTTTTAAAGATTTATTTATTTTTATTGGAAAGGCAAATCAGATTTGCAGAGAAGGAGAGAAAAGATCTTCTATCTGCTGGTTCATTCCCCAAATGGCTGCAACAGCCAGAGTTGAGCTGATCCGGAGTCAGGAGCTTCTTCCTGGTCTCTAAGTAGGTACAGGGTCCCAAGGCTTTGGGCTGTCCTCTACTGCCTTCCCAGGGCACAAGCAGGGAGCTGGATGGGACGTGGAGTGTCTGGGACATGAACTGGCGCCCATATGGGATCCGACACTTGCAAGGTGAGGATTTAGCTCTTGAGCCATTGCACCAAGGCCAATTTTTTTTTTTTAAAGTACCTTTCGGGCAGAGGATGGCTCAAGTCTTTGGGTCCCTGCACCCACATAGGAGATCCAGAAGCTCCTGGCTTTGGAAAAGCCCAGTTCTGGCTTGTGGCCATTTGGGGCATGAACTGGTGCATGGAAAATCTCTGTCTCTCCTTCTCACTAACTATGCCTTTCAAATAAAAAAAATCTTCAAAAAAAAAAAAGTCAGCTTTTGCCAGCCTTCTCCACTTGAACACTGAATCTCTTTGCAGGCCACACCCAAACCATTTTTCTATGATGGCACCTTGATGGACCAGCTAGAGATGGACAACTTTTGGTCTACCCTAGCCAAGGGCCTCGTGATTCCTTCCCAAGACATGCAAGTCTCAACTCCCAGGAGCCTTTGGCCCTAGAGTCTCGGCAGCATCAGCTGGCATGGGATGGTGGAATCCCTGCTATACCTTGGAGCGCCCCTTCACCTTGTATGAGTGGACCTTGGCATCTTCAAGGTCCCTCGGAATCTCTCTCTACTTCCAGCCTCGACTTGGCAGATCTGTGGGAGCAGGTACTTCCCCAGGCACACGGGGCCCAGCCCACCTTGGCTCGCTTTATCCCTATCAGCTTGCCCTGTCAGACAGAGGTTTTCCCTGGGTCCCGGGATTAAGTCAGCTCAGGACATCAGGGGATAAAGAGTTGCACAAGGTAAGAGATGTTCATTTGCTTGTATTACAGGTTGACTATCCCTTACGCAAGATGCTTGGGTCAAAAGTCTCAGACTGGATTTGTTTCACGCCCCTCCCCCCATCTTGGAATATCTGCACATACATGAGGTTTTCTTGGGTGGAGGAGAGAAACCTCAACAAGAAATTCACATGTTTCATACACACATGACCTGCAGGCAATCTGACACACAGTACTTCAGTTTTGTGCATATTCTCCAAAGTTTCACAGTGTGGAGTTTTTATCCACCTGTGGCTTCCGGTCAGAACTTTCAGAATTTTGGAGAATCTTGGAATTGAGATTAAGGACATTTGACAGTATCTCCCAAAACAAAGAAAGGACAACACAGCCAGCCGTGCAGGGCGTCCACGGCCTCCCAGGCAAGGGAGCCCCTCTCCCTAAACCTGGGCCCCATTGTCTCTGCCAACCTCTGAAAGCCCTGACATCAGAGCTCCTCAACGCAAGCCCGTGGGCTGCGAGCAGGGCTTATGTCAGAGAAGGGCCGGCCCAGGAAGGCCAGTGGATCTGGGTACGGCTGCTCCTTCGCAGCCAACGGGAATCCTTCCCGGACTGGGATGCACCCCGCCGTCCCCCGCCCCCTCCCACATTACCGGCCTATCACACAGAGCTTGGGTCGTTTTCAGGAAATTAGATCCGACTCGCCCAAGGAGGAAGGAGGGGAATGGGGGTGGGGAGAGGACGCTCACCCGCATGTAGCCTCAAACCTTGCCCTAAAACAAAAGCCTCTCGAAATAATTAATCCAAGACCTGCCAGGAGTTGGCTCCCTAGAATGGGTTTTTCTTTTTTCCCCACCAGTGACTAGCCAGGCTGCCTCATCCAGAGACAAGGCCAGCTGCTCCCCCGCCCCTTCTCTACTCCCCATACGCTTGGGAAAAAAGAAAAGAAAAAAACCTTTTCCACACTCCCGGACCCTTGCGGGAAAAGTGAGCAGGTTACAAATATTTGAGGTTCTGGCATTCACCCCGCCTAACCTGTGTCACCTGAATCACACAAGAGCCTCAGGTGAGATGAATTAACTTGGCAACACGCCCTGGACCTGGGGAGCGGTGAGGCGGAGTGGACGCGAGGAGCAAGACAAGCCGGGTTGGGGCCGCAGTTGCTCAAGTCTCTTAAGGGGGGCCCCGAACCCCAACGGAGCAGCTGCGTGCTGGGGTGGGTGCAAGCCTTTACCCATGCAAAGAAGCAAGGCTGTTTCATCTGGCGCCTTCCACAGGGTGGTCAGGGCGAAGCCAACAAAGAGCGAGCGAGCCAGGACAACCCAGCCGCGCCGGTGCCACACGCTGCGCTGTGCACCTATTTCAAGTAGCCTGCAAAGTTTCAGGCTGGGAACTTGTGAGCTCCCTCTAGGAGATCCCAGCCCCAGCGCGGAATTCATTCCCCCAACAGCCCACAACAAAGAACCGAACGTCTGGGGCGCACAAAGGCAGGGGCAAGCGGGTGGAGGACGAGCCCGACAGGCCACACAAAGGCGAAGTAGCTCCCATTCCCCTCCTTCCCCTGCACCCGGACCCCGGCGTGAAACTTGCGCGGTTTCCCATCCCGCGCGGTGCACTGCCGCGCTGAGAGCCCGGGATGCCGTGTCCACCGTCCCTTCTTTGGAAACGCAGAAAACTTGGCTTCCCCGCCCGGGGACTCACCGTTACACCACTGGAATGGGTGCATTAAGGAAGTCTCCACGAGTTCCCTCGGGCGAGCGGGCGCCGGCGGCGGGGTGCTGGGGAAGGACGTGCGAGTCTGCAGGAAGGGGCCGGTGCGCTGCTCGCAGCCGCCTCTTTCTCCGGGAGCGGGAGCGCTGCGGCGGCGAGGCCGGGTTCCGGAGCAACAAAGGGGGAAGAGGAGGAAAACAGATCGCCGCAAAGGTCCGGCCCCGGCCCCGGGCTCACGCGAGCGGGTTGAGAGGGTGAGGTTGGGAGCGCGGGGACGCCAAAGCTCCGGGAGCTCCGCGGTGCGGGTTGGGATTCCGAAACTGACACCCACCGCGCACGCCCCCTCCGTTTTACGCCCCCCTCCGACCCGGGAAACTCCACCCCTTGCCCGTCACCCGCCCTCCGGCCAATAAAAGCCTTGCTCCTGCGCGCCCGGGGCGGGTGGACCGGGTGGGGTGGACACTCCGGCCCTCCAGCGAGGAGGGAACTCCCGGGCCTGGCGGGCGGACGTGGAGAGCCACATGGCCCTGCGTCCTGTTAGTGCCTGGCGCTTTTGGAGCTCCTAGGGAAGCGGGGGCTGGGGGAGAGGCTCCAGGGCTGGGCGAAGGATCCTTGCCCCGGGATGGGTTGGGGTGGGGGCGGCTGGCATGTCCCCACCCCCGACAGCGCAACAGGGCAAGGCGGGTGTGTTCCACAGGAGCGAGGACTGAAAAGGGCTCTCTCTGCCCTGGCCCTGCCTTGTATTCATCAGGAGCGGAGATGACCCTTGAGGTAGCTGCCTCGTACTAGGTACAAAACCAGAAACGGAGATTTTCAGAGCCTTTAGGGCAGGAGCCTTCTGCGTTCCTGTCACCGCACAGGTGTTGAATGGCTCTGAAGTCCCGTCCACCATCTTTTTATGTGATGTTGCATGGTTGGTTTGGTACTTTTCGTCTTTATTCGTTTATTTATTGCTCCTTTTATTTTTAAGATTATTTTTATTGGAAAAGCAGATCCCCCCCCCCCCAGACTTCTTTGTGATGGGCCCCCTCCCTGGTACACAAGTTGCTTTAGTAATCCTTTAGAAACAACAGGTCCTGCTTTGGGCACTTGGGGTTGGAAAGGGGAGGACAGTGTGCCAGCCAAGCACAAGCAAGCAAAGGAGCCAGCGAGCACTTGCAAGTCTGGGTTTTCCCAGTGAAATTCTTATCTCCTTCCATCTGTTCATTGAAGATAAGTGCATTATCTGACTCCAGGGAATTCCTGACACCCAAATAAGATTATGCAGGATGCCTGCTTGGCTGTGGAAAAGCATTATCTTTAAAATATCACTTGATTTGAGAAGATCTCAGAGAAGGCTGGGATAAATGCAGTCCCCCTCCTGTCCCCAGGGAATTGGATCCAAGCTGCATCTCTCAGCTACCAAAATCTCAACATGCTCTGTGTGGCATTTGTCCGTGACCTGTGCCAGCCTCCCATATGTTCTACATCCCCTGGGGGTTTCTTATAAAACAGAATGTAGCGTTAATGTAAACAGCTGTCACATGGCACTGTTTAGGGAAGAACAGCCACAAGCCTGCACATTCAGTACACCTGCTTTCCCCTCAAGTATTTGAAGATATGTCCGTCGTCAGCACCCAAACACACCGGGGAACATAGAGGCCAAACAGACTGGAACTTAACACGTCATGACTGGTTGTTACAAGCTAGTCTGCAGTGGCATCGTGCACAGACCCAACAGATTTATTAGTTGGATAGTTGTAAAAAGCCTCCTTAACTGGCCCAACGCTCCTCTGTATCTTCAGACTTCAAAGCCAGCAGGAATCTCTTTGATGGTGGAGATGTAACCTAGGCAGACTCCCTAGGCCCCCAGAGCCCAGAGTTGAGGTTTCGGTAGTTAGAGGAACGGCCCCCAGAAACCTTCACTTCAATGGAAAAAAAAAGTCATCTGCCTTTATTTACCCTCCAATCCATTCTTCATGCCGGCACCAAAGCGGGCTTCTCTCTGAAACTTCTGTCTGTACATGCATTGCCTTGGTAGCTTTTCCTGGTCTCTGGTGTGGGCAGAATGGGGCTCTCACCTGCAGGGCAGCGCTGGAAGCTTTGGAATCCTGGTTCGTTCCACACACGCACACACTTACATACCCACTATTCACCAGCACACACGTGTGTGGCCCTGCTTATTATTCCTTGAGCACAGTCTGTTCCCTCCTGACTGGCATTTTGTGCGTGCTGTTGCTTCTGTATGGAATGCCCATTTTCCTTCTGGGCCTGGCAAATATTTCACAAGAGACAACTGAAAGTCCACCTCTTGTGTGGCCTTCCCTGTTAGCCTTGTCTCCCTCCAAATCTCCTTTAACACTTTACATGCACAATGAAGTGTGTGATGGAATGACAAAGACAATTCCGCGATTTCCTGAGATTGACTTTTCTTGAGCGCTCCTCGTGAGAGATGTGAAGAGTGTGGACCCACATTTCATGGTTCCAGTGTGTGATTCAATATGTGTTTTTGGAACTTGTGTTTATGCATGCATGTGAATAAGTAACTTAAGCCAAGTTCTAGATAGAGTGTAGAGGTTGAAGAGATTGGGTTGATTACACTGTATGATTCCAACTGTGTGATTCTTCTGGAAAAGACGAAACTTTGCACACACACACACACACACACACACACACACACACACACACACACACACAAAAGCCAGTGTACCAGGGCTGATGAAAGATGACGGAGTGGTAGGGCCCAGGATACTGCCGTGTGTGGTGCTCTAACGGTGCGTACAGGTCATTACACATTTGTCCAAACCCCATGCAGCACAAAGGGGGAACCCTAATGTAAACTGTGAACTTGAGGTGACTGCGGCTGTCAATGTGGGTTCATCAAGGGCAACAGACGCACCTCTGTGGTGCAGGTTGCTGGTCACAGATAGGAATGTGACAGTGTGACACGCTGGTCTCACATTGCAGCTCTGGGGAGGGAGATGGCATCGGAGATTCTGGTCTTTGTCAGTGTTGCTCTGTGGCAAAATTTGCTGTGAACTGTGGTCTAGGAGAAAAACAAGGGTGTGTGGTAGCTGCTGGCCTGGCATTCCTCACAATTCACTGGTTCAGAGCAGAGGTGTGAGGAGGTGGCAGGGAGGGGATACAAATCTCCCGCTGGGTGTTACCAGTGCCAAACTGTGGGAGAGTCTTTGAAGGGGAAATTGAGGTGCAGAACAGTTCCCTGCCCCCCAACTACAGACAAGCTCACAGTGAGTAAACTCACAGGACGCAGAGCTGGCCCAGCCAGTGCAGGGAGCCTTGCTTGCTAATACCTGTGTGTACCATGACTGCTGTTCTCAGCCGAAGTTGCTCCGAAGCGCTCTAACGCATTACCGACTCCAGCTTGCAACAACCCTCACATCCGCAGTCTTCCAGCCCCGTTCTTCCTGGCTGCTATGGCCACAGGGCAGTGTGCCTCAGCGAGTGACTTGGCTGCCACCTGTGGACTGGAGGAAGGATTGGGCCACCTGTTGGAGCTAAATGGATTCCTTATAATGTGCCAATCCCATTTAGGTCTCTTACCCACCCCACCTCCACCAAGCCATATGGTGGTTTATACCCCTAGGTTTCTGTGAGTCTGAAGGCAAGCCTGTTATTTTATGGAGAAGAAAACTGAGGGCTTATGTTGGGGTGCAGAAGGTTGACCTCTGTTTGTGGTGCCACTTTGCTAATCCAGCCTCCTGCTAATGGGGCTGGGAGAGCAGCAGAGGATGTCCAGTCTTCTATGCAAATCAATGAGTATTGGAGCCCATCCTGATCCTGCCCACTGAACACTCTGCCCTCATACAAACCAGTGAGAGCTGCAGCCTAGTCAGATTGACCCATAACAACCTCCACCAGGCCTGCCCCCCTGTCTTGGTTCCTGTGCTTGCCAAGATATGCAGTAGACTGGTCCAGTCTGTCCCCAATCCTGTTCAGCTCTCATACGTGTCAATGGCACTGAAGCCCAGTTCAACCCAACCAGTCCCACTATCCAGCCCACATATGTGCTGGAAAGTGCCACTCATTGTCTAGCCATACCCTAGTCCTGGATCTCACGCTAACCAGTCAGAGTGGCAACCCAAGAGGGAGGTGCCATTATTTCCCTAATGGACCCATTCCCTCTTCTAGACCTTGCACTCTCCAGCTGGTTCTGCAGTTTGACTTGACAGAATTTGCCCCCGGTGCCAGCATCTGCCAGCTGATGCTGCAGCAAAGCCCAACTGACCCAGTCCCACTCTGGCTTGTGCATGCACCAGCAGGAACAGTCAGCTTTCCCCTGATTCAGCTCACATGCAGGCCAACAGCCTGGTCTGTTGTGGCCCTGCCCAGCCTGGTCTGTCCCCATCCCAGCTCTCACACTCTTCAATGGAAGTGGTGGTCCAGCAGGGGAGCCCCATGCAGCCCCCCTATGGGATCATGGGCGTGCAAGGCAAGGACCTTTAACCACTTGCGCCATCGCGCCGGGCCCGTTTGCCAACTTTGTGTTAGCTATACCACAACATCCACCAGCTCATGCAAAGGCCAGGACAGATGGGGCAGACTATGCCAGGTAAAGACCTAGCACCTGCTTGCACATGTGAGATCTGGGTCTGGGAATGGGGAACTTGTGGGGGAACTTGGGAAACTCTCCTGGTGGACTGTAGCTCCCACTGTTAAGCATTCGATTGACCTATATGTTGGTTAGACCCAGAAAAGTAGCTCCATTTATTGACAAATGTATGGGTTCTGGAGGGGGTGAACCAGGTAGGGCTGGGTCAACATTATCCCACTGGCATGTGCAGGAGCCAGGCTGGAGTGTGGGTCATGCCAGGCTAAGTTATCACACCTACCTGTTTGCGTGAGCCAGGATGGACCAGACTAAGCAGAGCTAGGCTGCAGCACCCACCAGAGTTGGGACTGGGGTTGGGCCAGGCCAGACCAGGCTGCAGCATCTGATGGCAAAGGCCAAGCGGGGTGATGGGTTATGCTGGACTGAGTCAGAGCAACCACCAGAATACACAAGATTTGTGGCTGGGGGGCAGGCCTAGTTGGTGAGCTAAGGTGATGCCCCAGCTGGGCTATAGTTCCCACTACTGAGTGCAAGAGCTGGAATGGGGGCAGCAAAGTGGGCTGGACATGGTTACAGTATATTTTTGCGTGGGTGAGCCAGACTGGGCTAGGCTCCAGCACTTAACAGTGTTCACAGGAGCCAAGGTAGGTGTAGGACAGGCTAGGCTAAGTCTCTCCACCCACTAAATCATATGAGAACTGGGTCTGGGGGTGAAACAGGCAGGGCTGGGCTGTAGCACCCAATAGTAAAAGC